TAAAATATATATATAAAAAAAAATGTCTTCATCTTTTATATAAAAAAAAGATTAGTATCATCCTCAAATTGCACTTATAACACCATCATATTAGATTCGAGTGCAGTTGTTCTATTTGAGTGTGTTTAAAGATTTCAAGTTAACCAGGAAAACCCAGTTCATGCTGATAAACAAGCCTTGGCCTACTGGGCCTATTAGACTTTATTAGACACATAATGAGTATATACCCATGGGAGTGGGCGAGCCATCAACATTTTTGTTGTTATTAAAAACAATCAATCAGTGCTTAAGAACTATTTATAAACAGCCATTTACAGAATTATCTTAACAAAAATACTTATTCTCTTTAAATTACAAAATAATTGCTATAGGGATAAAAATATATATATAAAAAAAAACTTTTCTGCATAAACACAGAGAAAATTTTAATTAGTCCCCAGTTAATTAACAGCTATACTGTCTACTCACCAACTTTGCGGAGCTCGAAGGACGTGTCAAACTGGTGTCCAGCTGCCAGCAGTAGAACAGCATAGTTGATACCAGAGTGTAGTGTTGGCTCAGACTCGAACCCCTTTTTAAACCTGAGAGGAGAACAAAAAGACCAATAAACACTGTTCTTCCAAGAAATGCGTCATCCACCAAAACCCAGACATCTCTATGGTATCAGGGAAGAAAAAACGTCACAGGGCTTTCTGAGATACTAAAAGACAGTGAAAAGACAATTAGACTTATTGAGTTGGGGCCACAAAACGCCAACCTGCAATCGTGAGTGCTCCCAGATAACGAGAGATTTCATTCATTTAATGACCAATCTGTTCTTCTGCAGAATGAGTTGTGAATGTTATTAGAGCCCCGCACCAGTTTGTTTTATTTATTTTTTTGATTTCAGATGGAAGCTGAAAACATCAGCCAGATGGGAGGTTGATTATCTCTGCACCTCATTCAGTGAACCAATATATGAGGTCCTAATTGCAATTTCCGGATGAGGATAATCAGACGGCTTATGTTATTGGGCAGATTTCAGTTTGCGCTGATGGGTCCCGAGTGCTCTACTCTTCTCTAAAGCAAAGATAAACCATTTACAAAAAAAAAAAAAAAAAAAAGTGGATTACATAAAAACACAGTGATATAGCCCAAACTTCACCACTGATACTGGTGTTAACACTAAAAAGCCCAGAGATACGAGAATTTTCGTCATTCTCCAGTCCCCCCAACAGTACTTCACAACTCATGAATCCCTTTTCAGATGTAAATGCCGCATTAGCGCTGTGGCAGGAGAACCATTCCACCCCCTTCAGTTTTGGTTTTAGCTCAAGTCTCTCTGTTGGAGACATCATATTTGTAATTAAATATAACTAGGTCTACGTCATCAGTGTCACCAACACCGCAATGATTTCAGCGCAGCCACCAGTGCAGCGATCAGATGATAACTGATCTGTACAATGAAAAAAGCTGCATGAGCTGGAAAGCTATAGAGAGGGAATATTTATACGATAATGATCATCTGCCCTATTTACTAGGTGGCAAATATAACTCAAGCGATCTCTGAGACTGCAGTAAAGTTGGCAATATATTCACTGATTCGTCTTTTCTGGATTAATAACTCTTCGGCGGATGATTTCTTCTACAAAACCGATACCTCTTCGCAACCACAGCAAGGCAGACAGTGAGCTATAACCGTAGTTTCCTCAAAACGAGTCTCCTATCGCTCTGGGAGAATTACATTGGGCCCTAAGGACCCTAAGAAGTTGCTAAATAATCAGAGAGAAATATTCAAAAGCGTCACCAAGGAAAGGTGGATTTTTATCAAATCCATTTCACCTATATTTTATTATTAGAAAAAGTACAAATAAGCAGTGACTACACTATAGATCATTGTAGTGCCTTCAAACTTGTAGATATAACCTCATCTGGATCATACTACAACTCTTACTTTGGGCCAAACTATATTTTTGGAGATTTTTTCTTTATTATTATAAGCATATAATAGCCATTAATTACACTATAGATTATTGTACAGCCACTAAATTTGTAGCAGACATAGATAACCTCATCTAGTTCATACTACAACTCTTATTTTCAGAATAAATGCTAAACTCTATTTTTGTGATTTTTTTCATTGTTATTATAAGCAGGCCAGGTGTGCAATCTCTGCAACAGGAACAACAGCACTAAGCGTTGTGTGAACTGCACAAAGTATAACTGTTACAAATGCTGGGAGGACTCACCTTGGGTTTGTGAAAACTGCTAAATGGGGCAATTGCAGCTTCATAAATTAAAAAAAATAATGCAACTGCTTTTAGCATTTACTCAATCATATTTATTTACTTTATCACAATTGTTTTATGTCCTAGCCTGCTAACAGGAAACAATTGCGTCATAGTAACTAAATATGATTAACTAAATGCCAAAAACATTTGCATTATTTTTTTAAGTGTATGTAGTGCTTTTCCTTGGGTGAAATACATTTTACACCGATACTGAAACCATACTGTTTGTCATTTTCTAAGCTGAAATGTTGAATGATATGAATAGGCGAGACAAAACTAAATACAATAATTCTCCAAGTTGTTCTTTCTTTCATATAGTGAGCTTTGCAATATAAATGAGTCTGTTGGTGTTGGACAATATAAATAGGCTCTACCTTGCCTTGTTGGAAAAGCATGGCTATGACCTTTTCTCAGCTCAGGAACTAGGACCCGTATGATACCTGGTTGTTCAATAGGTTTGCCTAAATGAAAGATTTAGATATGACTTATCAATATATTCCTGCAGAAAGGTCTGATGTTGCAGGGGCAGTTAATGAAAATCGCTGGGAAAAAATGCTCTTGTTCTGATGCCAGTCTGTTTCAGCCTTTATCCAGTCTCATGTAGAAGGGCTGGTCATATAATAGGTTATTTGAATTAAAATAGGGACAGTTAGCGAGGTAGAGTGAATACACAACTTTGAAGAGGGGAGGGGGGCTTGCTAGAAAACTGAAATTCTCTGGGACTTTTACTGAAGATTGACTGCACACTGTAATAACCTATTGTGGGTGTATAAAAGGGAAAAAATAATGTTGCATAATCCCTTATTGTTATAGGAAAACAAAAAAATTGACATTTCTTTTTCTTTATGTGATCAAAATTACAAATGCCTATAGCTTTAACAACCCAACTGCTCTGAAACCTCAAATCTTACATGTTGACCTGACTTTCCATCAAGAGAAGTAGTGCCATATAGTAAAAGATATCATAGATTTCATGCACAAATGATAACTAAGAAATAAAAAAAAAAATCCAAATTCATAACAAAATGTAATTGTTAAATGTTTTCTTTAACTTCCATTTAAGACTAAGAAAAATAAACCCTTTCTCCTAATGCTTACACCTTTACTCAAATGTAACAAATTTGATCATTTCCAGTGAGAATTTGCAGGTTGTTGCTGTAATGAGATGCAATCTGCAGTATTTTCTACAACCACTTCAATTTAATAAAAACTACAAATGGGGGGCGACAGTGGTGTTGATGGTTCAAGCCCCGACTCCGACTTTCAGTGTTGTTGTGTCCTTGGGCAGGACACTTCACCTCCATTGTCTACTGATAGTGGTCAGAGGGCCCGGTGGCGCCAGTGTACGGCTACAAGCTACATTGTAGCCACAGCTCAGCCACAGCCACCGTCAGTGTGTGAGTGTGTGCGTGAATGGGTGAATGAATGTAGTGTAAAGCGCTTTGGTCAAGTCTCCTAACCTGAATAAAGGCGCTATATAAGTACATGCCATTTACCATTTACAAATCTTATTACCAATGAAAAGTTCAGCTTTCCTAATAAAAGCTATTTGGAAATTTTGCATTAAAGTAACTTGTCATGGTAAACTCCAGTGAGTCACCAGTTATTCTGCATCTTTTCCTTTAAAAAAAGCTCATTCTGAACATATTTATTGGTGACTCAGTGTCTGGAGAAGCCAAGTGAGCAGAGATATAATAGAATAACACACACAGTCATCCCGCCTGATTTTCTCACCAGAGGGTCCCTCTGTCTCTGCTCTGTGTGTCCGTGAAGTGAGACTCCAGGAACATGTCCTTATAGATCCGTCCCACCATACAGTAGATGTCGGATGCTACCTGCTCCTCCCCCTCCACCAGGGGCAGCATGATGTCCAGAGCTTTTTGTCTGTCTCCAGGCAGGTTCCTCCTGCAGTCACACACAGTGTAAAAACAGATTAAGCAGTGAGTCAGACAGAAATGTAATTTCTCACACTTTTCAACTTGTGTAAAACATTTGGCAATAACAAAGATGCTAATTAATCAGCCTAGAGCACAGATCCAACTTGTTAGTTGGAATTTAGGAATATTTCTTTATTAGATTGTCTAAATGTTGAAGTGTTATTGTATCTTTTTTAAACTGTGACATATTAGTGTAATATTGAACCGCTTTATGAGAAATTAATAACTATGTTCTGAGCATTTTCTTGAAAATCAGGCCATCTCTTCAGTTTCCATAGTTTTCTCCCAACTGCTAACATACCTACTAACAACTTCTACATACCAACTTAGAGGGATTTTTTTTTTTACTTTAAAATACTTAGTTTGTCTTAATTGTGTAAAAAAAATAACCAAAAGTTTAAAAAATAAAGAGCGATAACAACAAAATGTTACTAATTTACAAGGAAGAGTGGTTGCTTGGAAATATATAATATAATAAATATAAAGAGATGTGATACTAGTTGAAAACAAAGTGCTGTTATGTAGCATTTCTTTTTAAGTCACATTAGATAAAACAACTTAGATCAACACAAGAGTGAGGATAGTAAAGGTTCTAAGAATAGGAAGTTTGCATCATATTAAGCCCCATTTACTTTGCATTTCTAATAAACTCCACTGAAATCAATTGCCTTCATTACTCTGGTTGGATGTGTTTAAATCTGACTGTAAATCCAGCTGCTATCTGAAGACCTCAGTGGTTTGGTAGAGAATATAAGTTCACAAAGGGCATCATGAAGACTATGGAAAACAGCAGACTTGAAAAGTTTGAATGTCTGGAAGAGAACTTTTCAATCCATCCTCCATAAACACAAACTCTATGTTACAACTACAAACCAAACGAGACATGATTGCCCATCTAAACTGATAGCTCAGGCAATTAAACTAATTTCTATTCCAACATTATTTACTGATCCTAAAGAGAAATTACATAATATAAGAAGAGCATTGATCAGAAAAGCAGCCAGCAGGTTCCAACTGTAAATCTGCAGGAGCTGCATGCTTCATATATATCTTTTCCTAATGAAAGAGTAGCAATACAAGTGGGAAAATGTTCTAAGAACAGCTCCGTAGAATGGTTCACATAAAACCAAACTAATGTTTTAGAATGGCACAGTTATAGTACAGACCTAACTCCAATAGAGAATCCACTGCAATAAATCTTAACATATGTTCCATTTTCAACCTAACTGAGCTTATAAAAACATCAGTCTCCATGTGTGCAAAGTTTGTAGAAGTTCAACCTAAAGCCATGCAGCTGTAAGGACATGAAAAGGTGGTTTTAAAAAAAATAAACCCAATGGACTGAATACTAATGCATACCAGATCTTTCCGATTTTTACTGGCCGAATATGATGAAAACCATTCATCCTAACACCTAACAATTACACACTACATCGGGTTGGTCTGTAAAATACATTAAATAATGTGGGTGTAACCTGACAAAAATGTTAAGAAGTTAATGGGTGTTGATATTTCTCAAAGACACTATATGTATATAAAGCCTTTCTTTACTTTTTTGCAACTATCAATCTTTTCCTTTAAATAAGGAGGGACCATTGCGGATACGCTTTGAGAATTAACAAAAAGAAAAACCTGATAAACATGACGTGGCCGTTCTCCAGGGTGTGAAGGTTAAATACAACACATAAGCTGACAGCTATTACCATGGCGACTGTCCACACAGGGCTGAAAGACCTGCACTTTCCTCATACTGTTCCCTGCTTCCTGCCTCTCTACTCTCCACAGTGTTGATGTCTATTTGCATAGAGGGTATTCTTCCCTGCTCCTGTCAGGCCATGAGCAATAGGCTCATGGTTCAAAACCAACATACCTGCAGCCACTCTAAACTGGACAAATTGGGAGAACAGCATAGCAACAGCTTCAGATCATTCGTTGGCTTATATTTAGGACAGATATTGGTAATTTAGGGGCTTTGAGTGGGCTGCATGCTGCTGAGTCAGAACACAGTGAAATATCCAAGGTAAAGATAATTATATAACACCACTTTAAGGAAATAATTCAGCTAGTCTCTTATTGATTAGTTAAAAAATTTTACTTAACTGTATTATATAAATCTACTGGTTAAATAAAGCACTCACATAGACTAACCCAGAAGCTTGCATACACTGCATAAAACATAAAAGCTTATATGATCACCTTCTGATATAAAATACAATAACCATTTACAGTTTTTTGGTTTGTTGAGATAGCAAAACATTTTTTATCTTGTTAAATGTAATAATGATACCAAAAGTTCCAATAATGAGTTCAGATTTTTTTTTTTTTACTTTACTTTTTACAAATTCTAATTCTAGTTTCCATACATTTCCATATTTTATATGCTTAGGATTATTGCAAACCTCTAAGTGCTATTTGTGCTCCAGCTGTAACATCTAAGCTAATACCTGGAGATTCTGCTTCATATTTGTATATAATGCTATTTAGTTACACTCATGCAAAAACATTTGTGAGGCTGTTCTCACCATCAGATTAAATTTTAGCATCGTCTTAACAGAGAACACGTATCTAAAAAAATTAAAAGTGCATTCGCAAACTGTAATCCAGTCATTGTGTCGTTTTTTTAGGTATTGCCTTCTTCCTTGCTGAGTGGCCTTGTCAGTATATTAAGTCTTTCACTTCAGAAAATTATATATTTTTTCATAAGATAAGGCAGCATGTTTACATTATATTTTTTTCCTCGGGTGTGTGTTTTTTTTGTTTTTGTTTTTTTTACTGGGGTCAAAGCACAAATTCGTAACCAATAATGAAAAAGAAAAAATATCCTAGCACCTCACAAATATGAGTGGTTTTACTAATCTGACCCCAGATCGTAAAGGTTTAGTCTGCTTTAATGTTAGACATGGAGGAAAATACAAACGTATTTTTACATACTGTACGTTAATGTCTGGTTTCAACTTCACTTGGAAGGAAACATCTATGTTTTTGTGATAGAAAAAGGGTTCTAGAGTAGGTTGAAGAAAACTATTGATACTCTGAAAAGGATTGATACTCAAGCAATGTATCCAGATACAATACTATATTGGTACGGTATCAATACTAAAGACAAAAATTTTTAATATTTTTTAGAAGTGTAAAAAAATGTATTCTGGCAACTATAGCAACATTTCATTAAGAATTTCTTTGATTTAAAATATAGAAATAACGATAATTTATGATTAATCAACATATGTCAATTTTAAATGTATATATATATAAATATATATAGGAAAACATCCATTACATTTTCTTATTTCTATATAACCTAATATTCAGCTGCTCTGCACCAGCCACAGCAGAGCAACCAGATCTCATGAGGTTTTACACATCAATATTATTATCAAAATATGAATATATCATCTTTCTTAATGTATCGGGATATATTGGGATGAATCATATCATGACAAATGTATATTAAAAAGTATCGTATTACCAAATTCTTGCAAATATAGACCCCTAACATTCGTGCTGTTGTTCATTTTAGATTTCTGGATTATTTGAAATGTTAAACAGTAACATGTTTGGTTAATTATTTTGTATTCAATTGCAAATTTGTTTAACTAGCACCTGTGATTCTGTTGAGAAAGCACATTCAAAGTAGATATTGGAAAAGGTGAGATATTTTTTTTTTGTAAAGTTCAGTTCCATAATCTCCAACAGAACCCACTCGGACCAAAGAAAAGGCATCTTAGGCTTCCTGAAAAAGACAGAGTCACCTCTATTTGCGTCGTGAGTTTATCTACATGACGTTTTGTTGCATCATTACTCTGTCAATAGTAGGTACTCAGACTTTGTTCATTGTGTACTGTGCTGTTAAAATGCCCCCTTCATCAATAGAAATTGTGAAATTACCACCTAAATCTTCTATTAAAAAAAATGCACATGCTTGTTAATGATCAAATGATTCAAACCAGGCATGCTGACACAGCATAACATGCAAAACATCCAGGATACAGGACACTACTGCTGCAGCTGACTGGTTGTATTATGCTAAAAAGGCATAAAGCTGATAGAAATGTCGGTTTACGGAAAAAAAAGGGTGAAAATTTCCATTACTGTCAAATGGATGACGCCTCGAAGCATCAAGATCTTTTTGTGTCTGTCCTTACCTTTAGAATTTAAGACCACTTATTCTTACAATTTGAATTTGAATGTAGATGATTATCTCCATTTCTATCTCAGTTGCAGATGGTGCTCAAACCACAGAGTTACACTTACTGTAGATATTATTCAAATTAAGATGCACATATGAACTAAAACACATTAGGATTTTTTTAAGGGTTTCTAAAACATAAAAAAAAAGAATTTTTTGTTGGGTCAGACCTTCAAAGTTACATACCCGGTAACTATTATCTCTTTAGGTCTTAGCAAATCCACTGCCTTATACTAAACAACCTAAATAAATGTTAAATCCTCTATCCATTTGATTTGATACAATTTTCACCATAAAGAATTGTTATCAAGATTGTTATCTTGTTTAAACTTTGATTAATTTTTGTTATATTTTTGGTGTTTTCTTACTGCATTGCTGCGTTTCGAAGTCCCCACAGTGGCTTACCAACATAGTGTGTTTTTGTTAGTGCTGTTTGTCTGTTTTAACCTCCTCCTATAGCAGGTTTTGCATCAGTGTTTAATTTGGCTTTATTTTTGATATACTTTTTACATTTATTTTGTCATTTAGACTTTTTTTTACCATCTTTTTTTTATCTTTTTTTTAATTAAAATATTCATTTCACCTTCAACCTCAAAAAAGCAAAGCTTTAAAACAAGTTTTCCTCATTTAGTTTCCATGTGACCATAATACTCGTAGTACAGAGCTTTGTGTTAAAACTTTGTTTATGAAAATTGAACAAAATATGTTAAAAACCATAACTAACTGACTGGTTGAATTTCAGTTTAGCTTCTCAAAGTAACTTTTCTATACACCCAATATTTTAAAACATAACTTGAAATTATATTCTAAAACATTTACAGATTCCAATTGCGGATTATACTATTCTCTGACTTATAAAGTTGCAGTCTTCCATCTACAACAAGAAACCTTTTAGATCACATCTGGGCGGTTGTTGGAAATTTTTTTTGCTTTTTTTTTTTTTTTAATTTTAGAAGATGCATGTCATTGCTTGAGCTCTAAGAAATTGTTGGAATGCAACATTTATAAATCTGTTGCTATATTTTCTACTTATAAAGTTTTTTTTCTCAGCAAAAATAAATCATACCACGCATCTCCTTCTCTTAAACACTAGGTAGAGTGACTCATCTCTGCTTTTGTGTGGTGAACTGGAAAAGAAAAATATCTCCACCGCATTCTGCTTAAGAAGCTTAAGAACACATTTTCTGTCTTTAGTATTTATTCCGTGTGACTGTGTAACCAGTGGGACTTGTGAATGGTCCAAGTTGAGACTGTAGACTTAAAAGTCCCTCACATTTGGTGTTAACAAGTGCTCCCAGATTAATGAGCCTCATTCCTTATATGCTGATTGAGGCAGATGCACCATAAAAACTGCAGGAAGGTTTAACAAGAGAAGCAGCTGGTGTGAAAGAAACAGCCTGCATCCAACTGTGTGGAAAATCTGTGCTCTGCTGAGTAGCTCAAGTAGAAGCATATTGATGATAACTACTTAAAAAGAAGAATTTGGAAGTTGTTAAATTTGGAAGTCACATACTGAATTAAACTAGATATTTGTAAAAACATTAAGAGTTCTTTGCAATGGAAGTAAAACTGTGAACCACCCTAAAAAAACAATCCATACCACACCATCTGCACTAAACTTCACACTTGACACTATTGCTGCCAAAAACAGCGATCCTCTGTATTGTCAGACAGAGAGACACATTTAATCCCTCCAGAGAACACGTCGCCAAGGCATTAAAAGCAATGATGTTTAAAGACCAACGAGGTAGCATCCTATCAGGGTGGATAAACACATTCTTTTACAAATGTTTCCACAAGAAGTTTGCATGTCGAGGTGTTGGATTTTATACAATGGAAGTGATTGGACCAAATAATGGAAATAATATTAATTCCCATAGCTGGTTTATTGTTTGTTACTTGGGCAGAGATTTCTGGTTGGCAGCTATAATGTGATGTAACCATTTGGCATTATTTAGAAACAAAAACTACTGAGTTTTTGAAGTAAGAAATTTTTTTTTAAACTCCATTATTTTTTTTCTTACTTTTATCTAACAAACAAAATTAATGTAATATCATTTCTGTCACTACATAGACTTGCATTAACAAGTTTGTGCTCACCTATTCACTCCTGGCTGAGTTGTGCCCTGATGCACAGACACAAGACTCGTTTGTGTACAGATGGAACACACACACACACATACACACTCCCACCAGCAGACACAGACAGCACTGCAAAATATGTTGCAACCACCTGCAAAATGAGCTAAAATATCAGTGCATAGAATAAATAAACCAAAACCTTCTTCTGAAAGTTTTTTATGTGTAACTCTGCAGGTGAGATCCTACATGGTCTTGTAGATGGTATACGCTAAAGCATGAATGATGTATCCCTTTCTATAATCTTACCGGTTCAGTGCAAAAGCATAGTGGAACTTCACATGTGGATGGGCCATGGGGTCAAAGGTCGGCAGCTTCTCAAGAGTTTCAACCAGCTTCACAATGGACTCATAATCCTAGAAAGCAAATAAAGAATATGGAGATATGCACCAGACTCTTTCGAAACATAGATTCTAACAGTATATTCATTTTCTTGTGTCGCCTCGTTCATTCAATGCTTCATCTCTCCCGAACACTGAAAGCATTTCAGTAATTGAGTGGGCTCTTCATCGTATTCTTGTTCCTTATACTTGCCTACATATTGAGTATAGCTACGGCCTGCTGAATAATTCAGAACATCCTCTATACTTGTTGTTGTAATGAAAGATTCATGAGTCAGTGGAGTGCTTTTGGTAAGCAGCAGGATGTGGACAATGAATACATCACAAAGCAGAGATGAAAGATTGGGAAGATTGAAATTTTTTAAATGAGCAGTAAAAGGGATTGGCCACTGGCTCTCTGTAGGTGGTCCAGGACTGTTTGAGGAAAAACGACCCTCTGAAGGGATGATGACAGCTGAGGTGACCTCTACCAAGCTTTTACATTTAATCCTTACATTGGCTGTCAAGCATGTCTGAGTTGATTTTCTCTTCAAAATTAGCTAATTTTAGACACTTTATTGTATTTTCTGCCAATTTTTCAACGCAGAACTCATTTTTACAGAAAAGTTGAACTATATAAATCAAATATTAAAAGCATTACATGCAAGGAAATTACACTAAGGGTCAGAATGTGGAAATATCAAATAGTTGGTTAATCATTTGAGAGAAAACTAAGTTTATGAAATCCTTTTGATAATTATTCTCTGGCAATAAACAGGGTCTATGTTTCCTCTTCTTTACTGATCTTTTTATAGATAACCATCTTTGATCCTGATGGTACCACAATTTAAAACTTAAACTGATTAGATCCTAACGATAATTCACATTAAGTAAATAAAATAAAATGAATCGGCCTTTGAAAGTACTCATATATGTATAGGGTTTATTATTGTCCTTTTTATTAATGTAACAAGATATTATAATAGGAATCCCTATAGACTTTTTACAAAAATACAATGCAAATGCAAAGAAAAATATTTTTCAATATGTGCAGCAAATAAATCTTTCACTTTTACATGTTCTAGCCCCACTCCCATTGAATGCCACTCTGGGTCCCTGAGCAAGACCCTTAACCTCCACGGGCGCCGCACAATGGCAGCCCACTGCTCCCCAAAGGGATGGGTTAAATGCAGAGAGTGAATTTCATTGTTTTGTACTTGTGAAAATGTCATGACATTAAAGGTAAATTCTATTCTATTCTATTTTCTTTTAGTACTTCTGGCCAAATAAATTAACTTTAAGCATCATTTTAGACACCTACTGAATGATTTACACAGGCACACTTCAGCTGTCACAGTGATAAGGGTAAACATGGAAACTGTACATTCTGAAGACAAGTCTGACAGAGAGAACTACACTTTTCTTATCTTAGTGTTGTATTTGTCCTGAGCAAAGAGAGAAAAAAAAAAACCCTGTCTGTCTGTCTGTCTGTTATTTGCTCCCTGTGTGTTTTCCTTTCATAAGTTAGTGCTCAGCAGACATACCTGGATGTCCCTGTATGTCAGCAGCAGGTTAATGACCACGTCGACTGAAAGACACTCCACGTTGTCCAGCCTCTGCTGAATTCGGCTCAGTTCGGCTGACAGCTCCATACCGGTGTAAAGTTCCCGAGCTTTACGGATCTCATTCAGAATCGTCTCTCTGAAGTACTGGCTGCAGGACAGAAATGGTGCAGATACATACTATAACTGACATAACTGACATAGTAACATACTATAACTGACATAACTGATTGGTTTCTAATGTCTTAGAAACCAATCAGTCCCTTATTGGTTTATTTTAAAGGGGCTTTTTCAAATCATAGTAAAAATGTTTTTCACCATCTGAGTAAATGATTATCTCATTAAGAAGATAAACTGAACTTAGCTGAATTTCAAACAAAAACTTAGCCGCTTTCCTAGGGCTGACCTGGTTTATTACCCAAGCAACCAAGGCGACACAAATCCCTTCAGAAAAGTTCAGGTCCATATATGCCAAAGGAAAAAGATGCACTCAAAAAGTCAACTGTAATATATAACAGAAGGCTTGGGCTTATCAGATTTTAGCAGAAAAAAATACATTTGGGAGAAGATTCATTTTGCATTCCTGCAGTTAAAACATTCTTTACATTTTTCCTTGAAATCTTCACCTATTTATTCTTCTTATATATCATATGTAAAACAGTTAAACAACATGGTGTACATCACTGTTTAATATACAGTACTTCACCTAAACACATGAGGAAACCTTTCCAATTGTTAAAACTCTGCATTTCCCTTTTCTTATTTACAATTACACTGAATAACTTTCAGTGGACTGGAATTCACCATTATTAGAGAACTCTTTATCTTCCTCCTATTCTAAAAACATTAAATGTTTCCCAAAACATCTGAAGATAAATATATTAAATGGGAGGCTGCAGGAGATACAATTAAAAGACAGTATATCTACAGGCATTTCTTGGCCACAGTTAAATCTTCTTAGCAACATGCTAATCGGTTTCAGAATGCAGGGGCATTCTGGAGTGCTAAATGTGTTGGTTTCTGCAGAATATGAAGAAGTAATGGAGCTATTTGAAGCAGCTAAGGTGAAGCAGAGACTGATGTAAAGCATGTAGGACACCAGGCCTCCAGCGCCAGAGCTGGATACCTTTTTAAGTCAAAACTAAAAGATGAACTCTGTGGAAATATTTGAACAAAGCTCTACCTAATATATCTAAAGCCAGAAACTCCAAACACTTGCAACTTTCACAGCAGCAAAATGTGGTTCAACAAAGTGCTGACAGTAAACAAGTGCATGCCACACTTTTCAGATTTATGTTAATTATCTTGAAAATTAAATATAATCTCCCTTCAACCAGACAGTGATGTGACAAATTTCATCCCAGTAACACACAATCAAGATTGTGGTTGATAAAAAATGTACTGAGTCACCAGATTATAAATACTTCTGCCGATCATTGCATACACTGAATATTAAACAGGCTGATAAGACAAAAAAGTCACATTTAGGACCTGCAGGCATCTAAATTTCCCTTTAAAATGAATATATTTCCATCTTTGTTTTAAGGAATTGATCAACTTTGGGTAATTTTGCAGCTTTGTAATTTCTGCAGAGAACCTTAACTGTGCCATTAAAGAAATGCCAGAGAAAAGTGAAGTTTGTTCTTCCTCTGAAGAACAACTAAAACCAGGATGTTTGTGCATTTAACATCCCTACATAGGTGCCGAAGTAATGCAGATTACAGTCTGTGATTAAATACACAGATACACCCACAGTATGCAGAGTTTACACACTTACTGAGAGTTGCCCTGTGACACTTTGAGCAGCTGAATGAAGCGGTCCAGCAGGGGCATGCAGATTGGTCCCAGCAACATCTCAAAGCTTGGCTGCATCAGCTCCGTCAGACCCTTCATGAGGCTACCCTCGCAGCAGTACACCTTGTTGTGAGGAGTAGCCATGTATGGGATGAAGGTGTAGTTGGCTGAGCATGTCTGTGGAGCAAACACACACACATTACCAATAATACCAACAGCAAAATGATCACATGTTTTTTATTTCTTCTCACTTCAGCTTAGGGCTGACATTTTATGACATGGGCTGACGTTTTGGCCTCTTAGTTCAGTTTCAGTGATGAAATATTCTCCAGAAGTATTTTTAGACTTTTACAGACTTTTACAAACGACATTCAGATTTGTTATGATACATAGTACGTTTTTCTAACGGGAATATTTAAGGAATTTTACAACATTTCGATTTCATTTATGTTTGGTCTTGTATCAAATAATATTTGTACTAATGACACATGAAAGTACTCAACAATGAATGATTTTACAAAACAGACACCAAACTCAGCATATAAAAAAAAATGTAATCCATGAGAAAAAAGGTAATGAAAGCAGTCTTCAGCGAAAAGAATTTATACAGTGAGGCGAAAAATGTAAGGAAAGCTAACATTAGTTTTGGTACTAATTAAAAAAAATGTCCCAAAGCTGTTACCCCACCACAGGACTTGAAAGCACCAGTCTAAAAAATAACAAAATTACCATAACAATGTAATCAATACATATGTATTACGAGTACATCATCAATTTAGAGCTTTTGGTACATCTGTACAATTGTGCGCCATTAACATATACATTTTATTGTGATTGATTTGTATAATATGTTATATTGCCTTATTAAGAGACATTCTTTGACTTCATAATGACTATGCAATGTGATGTGCCTATTTTTCTTAATTAGAAGTTAAAGTAATCTACCTATAATGTGAAACAGCAGCTGTGTGTCACGGTGATGAATTTATCTTTATTTCAAAAGTCTTAAGTCCCCCTTAAAATGAGAACATCATCGTTGTTTGATGCTGTAGCGCACGTATTGTTTACATTGCGACCTTTCTAACTAGGAAGTAACAAGATGGCGGCTGGTGGCTTTATTTCAACCCCATACTACCAACGGGCAATCAGCAATCCAGTGAATAAATAGAGATCAGTGATAACCCCTTGAGTGGGGACGAATTGGATGGCTAACTCCTGTAAGCTTATAGGTTCTTGACTGTTGCCACTGGCACTGTCATCACCCGATCCGTCCCGGAAGCACGATCCATACCATGAGCTCATTCGCTCGTTTGCAACCAGTTAAACATCCAGGTTTCCATAAATAATTTAATTAATGAATGTCTTTAATTAATTTAATATAATTAATTATTTCTACCCTTAAGTCACTAAAGAATGTTAATACATATCTTTAAAAATGTTTTATGACTCTTCTAAGACAATTTTGATTCTTTTTACATTTTCTCCATTAAACTGCTTGTGTGATGTCATCATACATGCTCAGACCAGTCCGGAAAAATAGGGTTAAACCATGTTTATCTGCTATTTAGTTGTTTCTTTCTTTAGGTTACACACTATGTACCATAATGTTAACAGGAAAAGGAAAACATTAAACTCAAGACAAGATTTAGGTTTAAATCCAAAGCTCCCGCGAATAGCGAAGGATTCCATTTCCGGTACAGATCCAGCACAGGTGATTGATAAAACAGAAAGGATTTTAAGGCATTTATTTTCTCAGGAAATACATTATTAACCTTTAACATATTATAGTTTAGTAAGCTTACTATTTTTAGGGAATGAAAAACTTAATTTATGTCCTTTTTTACAAAATAAAATGTATATCTGATTGTGCATGCGCAAATGAGCTGATGCTACGGATTGTGCTTTTAAAGATGTGTATCAGCATTCTTAAGTGAGTCAAGGATAGAAATAAGTAATTTTAGTATCATAATTACATTATTTATGGAAACACGGATGTATATCTGATTGCACATACGGATCATGCTTCCGGGACAGATCGGGTAGTGAGAGAGCTTCTAATGAAAGATGGAGCTTCGTCAGATCTTTATAGCAGCTCTGCAAGAGTTGCACACATTCTCTTCATTGGTTCGACAGCTGTAATGCGGCAAATAAATGACAAAAAAAAGTGTCAACTGGGATGTTTGCTCACTGTCGTACCTGCTGCTAGCAGTTCTTGTGCTAAATAAAAAGTTAGCACCTTCTTTTCGATTTTCACCTTTGACTTCGGCCTCTGGCGGTTAGGAACAATCCACTAAATATCGCACCTTCATATGGCCACATGGTTCAAAGCATGGGAAACATTAGCGGCTTATAGTCCAGAAAATACGTTTTTTTATTTTATTTTATCCCCCAAATCATGCTGAGCATATAGAACTGACTTGATAGAACACAAGCAGCAAAGCTTTTTTTTTTTATTCATGTACTATTTTCTTTACTGTAAATCCGAGTGCAGCAGACCGCCCAGAGGAAGTCTCAGCTGCTTCCTCTGCTTCAAACATTTAAGCCTACCTTACAAAGCATTATTGTTAATAATAACCACACCAACCCACAGAAAATATAAAAGCTTAGGGTTAACAACCCCATTAAGAAATGCTTTCTTAAGATACACACAACTACACTTAGATGAATTTAGCATTCTAATCCTGTTCACTGAAAATTAAAATTAAGAGGAAAGAACCATGTATCTGCTCATGCTGTAACTTTCCTCCAGCTGTGGCATTTGTTACACTTTCCATCATTACCCATGTTAGCTGTTGCAGCAGCTTCAAGTGATCTTTAACATGTTATTTTAGACATCTGTGATTCAGCTGTTGGTCTTTTGCTGCTAATTAAAGAAAGAGGAAATGTGTGGTGTGTGCAGACAGCTGAAACACAAAAAGAAACCTTGCAATGTTTTCAAAGAGACACACACTTGAACCCAGCTGCATCTTTGCTTTAACAATCTATCAGGCTTTCAGCTCTGCAGGAACCTTTTCAGAAGGACTAACACCACAGCTGATGCCTTGACTGCCAAATGAAAAACGAAAGGTGTGGTGTTGAAGCAATGAAAGCCAATGAATGATAACAACTTCCTTCTATGCAACAGTGGTTAGTGACATCACTGCTGCAGTGGCTGACTAACGAAAAAGAAAAATACCCTGACCCCTTTTTCTCCAAGTAAAGGGAGGTTGCAAAACACCGCTGCTATATTTGTCTCTATTATCTGTGTATGATTTACACAGTAACAGGAACCATATAGCAGGCTTGTGTCCAAGAGCTCCTGGGTTTTGCACGGAAGCTGCATGTGATCTGATGGCAAATTATAGAAATCCTTTACAGCTCAAACTTCAAAGAGGAGGAGTGGACCATGAGTTTAGCTCAACAAGAATTTGGGGATGAGAGCTGAGGATGATTTTTCTATTTATTAGCTGGTCCGTGATCCGTTCTATTCATCCATATTTACAGTAGCAGCATTTATCCTTAAGAGCCGGACTGAAACTTTCGTTTACAACTTAATTATACATAACTGTTTGTGTATTTAACCCACCAACAATTACTACAGACCCTCCACAAAAACATTTTGGTAATTTGAAAACTACTGAGAAATCTCTGTGAGGTTACTTGGAAACAAATGTGTTAAAAAAACACTGTAATTAGATCTGCAAATTTAGAGACCGATTTTCTTGATTTTAATTATGATGGCAGGCTGTTAAAAACATTACAACATTAAAACATATTTCAAGCAGTTTGGAACTCAAGCTTAGTGGACAGAAATACAGAGGAGCTGAATCAGTAGAGCACTCAAACAGAGAATACAGATGTATTTTCTGCATTACATTATTTATGTTTTCATTCCTCTTAGTTACTTCAAAAGGTGCAGTGAAAAAAGTAACCCTGAACTCACTCTAGTAATCCTTCTGATCCAGCAGGCTGATTAAAGTTCTTCTGTTAGCTTTTACAAACTCTGGAGACACCATTGCTTTGTATCAAAATGTCTTCACTTGCAACAAAACAAGCAATACTAAAGGTCATCAAAAAAATTTCAAGGTTGACTTTTGGAGAATATGGCTACAGGATGCAGCAAGCAACACCTACCTTTGAAAAGTACCACATAATCTATTGCCACCAGTGCAGAGCTTGCTTAACATTCACAGCAATGGCTATAGGAGGATCTGTACTGAAAGTGATACGCAGACCTGTTGATGTAGGTTTTGTTAAAAGAGGAGCAGCAAAGATGGCCTCTCTAGCTGTGTACTCTAAATCAGCGGTTCCCAACCTTTTTTGCACCACGGACCGCTATATGTCAGACAATATCTTCACGGACCGGCCGGGGGGGGGAGATACGATCAAGTAAAATGATACAACTGGCATAAAATCAAATACAAAACAACAAGCTGGTCCCATCTAGGTGTAATCGGAGAAAATTTACAGACAAAGTGTGCTACTGATGTCCAGTCTGCTCCGTAGCTTTGTTCTGGTCGCTGTAACCGCAGAAAATCCCGCTTCCCAAAGATAGGATGTTATAGATAGGATGCGTCTTGAACTGAATTAACCTGTGTCAAGAGGCACAGATGATGTAATTGGGAGAGAATACCACAATTTTTTATATTTTTCAAAATAAACCATCACTCAGATTCTGATCGTCGATAAATTATATATACATATATACATATATATATATATATATTTTTTTTTTTCTTTTTTTTTTCAGTGCGGCCCGGTACCAAATGACCCACGGACCGGTCCGCGGCCCGGTGGTTGGGGACCGCTGCTCTAAATGAATTGGCTCAGCCTGGAAATAGTAGGAAGGATGGAGAGCAGAATATTCCAACTTGTTTATTCTGATTCATTTTCCATTCTTGTTTGATTTGGGTTCCCTATGTAATTACATATCAAGATGAAAAAAAAAATTGAACAAAAAGTCTGTCAAAAGACCAAAAGCAAAGCACCCTGATGTAATTGTCTCTCTTTCACTTTAATTAATAAAAAGGGAGATCAAAATGTACAGAGAAAGTAAAAAAATAAAATAAAATTAACAGGCCAAATGAAAATTTTGTCATAATCTGAAAGAGCAGTGACAAAGCAGTAATAACATGCTTTGAAGATACGAACAAGGACTTTTTTGGCGCTGTGGCCCAGACCATAACCTAAATGAGAACCTGACAAGAATGGCTCACAAGTCATGGTTTGGCCCAGATACTCATACTCACTATGCAAGAGTGAACTGAAGAAGAGAAACAATAAGGTAACTGTCCTGCTAGATTTAATATTTCTGCTTAAAAAAATCCTATCAAACCTATTCAATATTTTATCCTATATACAAATGTTAAAAACTAACTTAAAGGTGATAATTAGAAAACCAGCAATATCTGTCATGACTGCACAGAATTGGATTTAAAAAAAGGCACTAAATAGATGAGACTATCAAAATGAAATCTTAAGTGGGAAACTGATTACTAACAAAATAGGATAGAAAAATGAAACTTATATGTCTGTGATTAGAGAATTGCTTTTTAAGTAGATTTTTTAATGAGCATGCAGGGTTAGTTAATAGGCTATTGTCTTTCAGGAAGAAGTGACAACAAATGACAGAGAGTGTTTAGGAGTGGCACGTCTGCGTTTACACTCTTCGTCTCTGAGTGATAATCAGCACTCTTCACTTGGCAGGAGTCAGAGGACAAAGTGCTACATGCAGCGTGGGGCCAACTCTGTCCACTGTGAAAAGCCACTTAGGATAGATAAGCCTATCATCTCACTCCTGGGCATCAGCCTCCTCCCACTTCAAAATATTCTATTACCTACAGAGCCAAACTGCAAAGCTAATAAACAATTTTTATGTCTCTATTAGGCCAAATGTGTTCATTTCAGTTTTTTTTTTATTTTAGCAATATGAAATTTTGTGATCATTTCTATTGTTTTATGCATAAAACAATAGGGCAGTAAATTGAACTGAAAGACTACAGTCCAATTTGTCAGTTAAGGACAGGATTTCCTCAGCTGTCAGATGCCACCTTATTTGAATGCTGCAGTTTTTGCAAGTCAAATTCTCAAAGTGCCTGCGCTTTTTCATGCAGCATGTGCGGTGAATCACACGCAGCAGCTGTTATCTGGGGAACCGCATCTTGAAAGTGAAAGAAATTACATTTTTATATTTAACCAAACAATTATCAAAGCTCTCTTTACAACAGTTTGCTGCACGAGTGTAAACCTTTTATAACACTGAGAACAGAAGCATAAGGCATTAGACGCTCGGGTCCTTGTGTTCGTAAACCAACATATTCTTTCACACAATATAATATGTGTGATGTGTGAGCAATGGGTGAGTAACGTGCAAAAGGCAAAAAAGAAAAATAAATAAAGCTTTGTGTACTTACAGTGTTCTTCTGGCAAATTATCTCCTGAAATGAGAGAAAATAAAAGCACATTTAGAGAATAGAAAGGAACATTTTCTGCCAGGGATAGTTTTCTGCTATAAAAGCTTGAAAAACAAAATGAAACCTATTAGTTTAGGAAAGAAAAGCAATACAGCACACAGTATTATTAAACCTAAATTGATGTGAACAATATTGTCCCTTTAAATACGATTAGAGCTAAATTGATCATTTATCTAGTATAGAACATTAAATGTACCCCTGCAGCTTTATGGTTAATTCTTCCTGTTGCAAGATAAACCTTTTTAATTAAGGATTTAATTTCACCCAGTCTGTCAGTGATTTTAATGACATCATGCTAAATAATGTAGCACACATGCATCTTACCACCAGAGATGGGAAGTAATGAAGTACAAATACTTCATTACTGTAGTCAAGTAGATTTTTCTGATATTTTTACTTTACTTTACTACTTATTTTTATGGCGACTTTTTACTTCTACTCCTTACATTTTTACACAAATATCTGTACTTTCTACTCCTTAGATTTAAAAAAATTGTCTCGTTACTTTAGTTTTGAATCGTTTCAATGGAGTTACCGTTATTATTTTTCACATCATCAATACCAAATTCAATCTAATTGGATGGGAATCTACGTTGCATTTGAAGCACCACTACAAGATGAATCGACAGATTCGGCGGTATTCATTCGCGGCAAATCATTGCAGCTTGGTGGCGGTGGCGTTAGCATAGTAGTATGGACGACGAGATGATTGAAAATGAACACAACGGAGATCTGGTCCTATTGGCAGACATCCATTTAAAATGTAGGCAACGGCATGAAAAAAGTGGTTTCTACTTTTACTTTTATACTTTAAGTAAATTTACAAGCCTGTACTTTGTTACTTTTACTTGAGTAAAGAAGTTTAATCAGTACTTCCACTTTTACCAGAGTATTTTTTAACACAAGTATCTGTACTTTTACTCAAGTACGGAAAGTGAGTACTTTTGCCATCTCTGCTTACCACACATGAGTTTTATACAGCTTTCTGTACATCAGTTAGCTGTAATTTAACAATATTTATTGTTGTTTTGTTTTTATTTTTAGAGGGTTATAGAACAATAACTACTGCAGATAAGAAAGTTTTGTCAGTGAGGAACAAAAATTTGATCATGATGATACTGATGGATAAAATATATAAGTAAAAATCAGCCTAAAGCGGTACCAGAGTGAAACTATTTACTCTTCTTTCTAAATGAGATCTTAAATAGTGTAAAACATTTTAATCTACAATTTAAGCTAAAATACAACATATCTTCCAACACCTTTTTAATAACCGTTGGAATGATGTCGACCTTGTTCATAGGACGGCTTACCTGCAGAGACTGGAGAGACTCGGAGTTAGTGTCGCAGTACAGGATGATGTTGTTGGCCATGCTGAAGCTTTCTCTGACTCCCAGATGGTAGAAGAGTGAGGGCTGACGGAAAGCATCCGTCATCTCCACAACAGCTATGTCTGATGGTGAAAAACAGGACCAATAAACTCCAGTACCAAATGTTAATCAGCTTGATTCGAGGTTTAATCATAATATAGCTGATCTTACATTACATAAGTTGTACTAATCATTTGTTGATGACCAATATAACATGATAAAAGATGCAGTTACACATTTTTGCAGCCATTATCCTCACAGAAGAACCCTTTGCTCTCTACAACCATTTAACAGTCACCGCATCTGGGTTTTAAAGAAAACTATAACCTCATCATTTCATGTAGTATTTTTGAGTTCTTTTCATCAAAGAAATACACTTTAACACTGCAGCCAAACATCTTAACTGATATAAAACCTACTTTAGATTTCAAATGAGCTTTTATTTCCTGATAAAGTGAAGAATACATTTTGCTCAGCCTTCTTTGCATAGTTTCTCTTTGACACACTTCTTCTGATTAATTTTATTATTCTGTTTATGGTTGCTCTCCGATTTCTATTGGACTTTTTTACAATCCAATTTAGCACCAAAGCTGTAAGGAAAAAGGATAGAAACCGTAAGAATGCTAAGACACATTTATTTCTTCGGTTAAACTAACTAAAATGCAACAAAAAACAATTTGGCTCATTTTTACCATATCAAACAAAATACGTTTTTTTTTAAAGCAAAACTTTTATTTTTGTGTTTAAAACTTTGAAATAAACACAATACATAAGTGCTCTTCAACAGAATTGCAAAAGTTCAAGAATAGGATGTAAAAAATAAAATAAAATAGAAAACAATGACTATTTCTTGCATAAAATTCAGAGTATATTGCAGTTGGGAACTGTCACTCAGAGGTGCTGCCCCCTTCATCCCATCCTGGAAGGAAAACAGCAGCCAACAGCTCCTCTCCTCAGCTGCAGGACAGAGTGCTGCATGAGCTCATTTAGCCCCGCAGCCATTAGAATACACAACTATATCAGTAGTTTATTAATAGCGTGCTTCATTGCAAATTGGCACGCAACACACTTTAGCTAACTGTAAGCTCAGATACTGTTTCCGTCACTGATTTATCCACAGTTTATTATATATTAATACGACCTTTACAGTTTCTGCATAATACACACTCTCCTACTTTATTTTGAAAGTATTTACTTGTATTTTCTATATCTTGTTCATCTATTTTTATTACCTTATGATTACTTGATCAAAGTTATCTTCCTCAGAGATGAATAAAAATATTTAAAATCTAAAAAAGCCATAGAAAAAACACAGAAAGCTGCTCCTGTTACCTACAAAGCTTTTATTTCCTTTACATTGTAAAATACTGATATTTTTTTTGCATTCTGGTAGAAGTAATTAAAAGCCACAATAGAAGGTAAAAAAAAAAAAAAAAGAGCCACATGTGGCTCTTGAGCGGGATGAACAACTCTTTCAACTGCCTCTGGTTAAACGTATCTCGCTCTAAAGGTGGAAAAGCGCTTTTACTTTGTAGAAATTAAAGTGGCTCACAGATGGTCAAATAAGAACTCGACTAGTTTTGGAAACAAACAACCAAGAATAAGATGAGAGGACTGCTGAAAAGCTTAGATATAAATTTACACATCTGTGTGGATTTTCTTTATTTTATTTTGATTTTTAGCAATATCAATTTGTCTGAGGAAAAATATCTTATATATTTAAGAAAATATGAGAAGAAGAAATACAACCACAGCATTATGGTAAAGATAAAAGGTTCCCATTTTTGATTCTGGCAGGATAAGTTACCTTTTTTGTCCTGACTGACCTTAAAGGCAATGTGTTCGGACCATCCAGGCGACTAAATGAAAAGTACTTTGTGATCTCTCAGACAAAACGGGGAACTCACATCAAAGCTAAAATGAAAAATGTGCGAATGTCGAAAACTGACAAGAAGAAATGCAATCAAATTCAAGTCTGTAAAACTATCATGGCTTCCTTTCTATCATCATCATCATGAATGATCATTGCCTGAGCTTTAAGAACTGCCCAGCTGCAATCAACCCACTGATTTAGGGTTGAAAGATTAAGCAAAAAATTCAAATTGCAATTTTTTTTTCAACCAATTTAGCAACTGCAATTTTTTTTATCTGCACTAACCAAAAGCCTGTTGAAACTTTAGTTCAGATTTCATTATTTTTATGACCTTAAAACTTGCTTGAAAAGAGACCACTGTTGCAGGACTTTAGCATTACAATTGTGTGAAAAACTGTTTACTCCTACTAGCCTGTATGCATCTTTGCGTTAGCTACAACTTTCTCTCTCTTGCTGTGAGTAGGCAAACCCACTTAAAGTGTTTGATCCTGACCTAAAGGTCTGATGTAAGAGCGTCAGAGTCGTCTGTGATGTAAAAGTTGCATTTATAAAAATTGAGATTATATTGCAAAAGCAATTAATTACCCAATCCTAATCTGATTCAGAAAACTCCTTGTAGGGGAAGTGGCGGCCTCATGGTTAGGGCATTGCGCTTGGAATCCTGAGTTTCTGAGTTGAAGCCCAACTCTCAGTAACTGCCACTCTGGCTTCCTGCGCAAGACCCTTAATCCCACATTTCTTCCCGGGAGTCGCACAATGGCAGCCCACTGCTCCCCAACGGGATGGGTTAAATGCAGAGAGTTCATTTCATTGCTCTGTGACAGTGTAATGACAATAAATCTGTAAAAAATAGGAAACACTGAGTTTGGCAAGACTTTTCTTTTGATACTTGAAAATATTGCAACAATTAATACAAGCTGGACCATGGGAGCAGGTTCAATGGTTCAAAGGATGTAATTATTGCCACATTTAAATCGAACCAGCAAAATTCTGGTAAAATGATGGAGAGTTGCCATTCTGATGAGCATGCATGAATCTAAAGCAACAAAACACTGGATCAGTATCAGGGAGTCTGATCAATGTTTAAATGAAAAACAAATGTTTCCTTTCTTTAATTAAAACAATGTCTGTATTAGCTATTAAACACATATAATACCACAGGAAAGGCATCTTAAAGGTCTTTAGTTGCATAAAAAAGTAGAGGCTGGTGGCACCAGCAAGTTTGACAAAATTAAGAAATACAAAACAGGCACAACATTGGTGCTCCTGGAAAGTTGAAGGAGCCAGTTTCTTTATCTGTGCCTCATTCTGTCTACAAACTTTCTCACATTGAGCTGCAGATCTTAGATTTTCAGACGCTGCAGACTTTTCATCTGGTATCTCATAGGTCTTTGATTGCAGTTATGTTTTATCTCACATTCTAGAAATATTTCTTTTAACTACTTTAATTTGTTATATGAGTCATGGCAGTAAAAATAACTACAACCCAAAGCTAACTGTGTATTTTATCATCCATGTCAATTTTCTGTCCATGTTAAATAATCTGCCTCTATTTCCATTTTCATTAGCAGCTAAGTGGGTTGAGGACTGAATTAAAATGACTTTAAAAAGGTCTGCAGTTTAGTGCATTGATTTGGAATATCAAGAGGATTGCTTTTTCTCTGAATGATCAGCCCATATCTCAGAATCAGGATCCCCACTATCTGATTAAACCCAAGTTAGGTAGAACCTTAATCCTCCCTGGAAACATTTGATGATTAACGACTTACTTTTAATTGTAGATGTGTGCTACAAAGTGATCACCATGTCTCAAATCAGAGCTGGAGACGGGGTTACATCAAAATGCTGGATGTTAAATCCGGTCCTTTGCATATCACGCCTTATATTCCCACAAAGCTCGACAATCCTATGTATACACCTGAAAGGTTTGTTTATCTTCTTTTCCAAACTACCTCATGCAAAGGTGTCTCAATACCAACAAACAGCACGGGTTAGCTGTTGAATAAAAAATAAGCTTGCCTCACTTCTCTGCTGGCAGCTAAGCCCATCAATATTTCATCAGGAGTTTCTTTTATCTGGATTTTCACACAGATAAAGGAAAATGCAACCAGGACTAAGAGAGATACTTTAATTAGGAGTATTGTTATGGGAAATGTTTTCTGTCAAGTCAGGGGGAATGAAATTAATGAAAAAAAGCAACGTAACTATTTATACTTGGAGGAGAAAGAAAGGGTGTAATTCAAGGACATTCATCGTTTAAATATAAGATCTATGTGGATTGCAAAATCTATTTTTTGGCAAGTAAAAAACTGTAAGAATTGATAGGTTTGTTTCAAACTCAGTGAAGAATAACATTAAAATTCTTCACTACAAATGTTGCACACGCGGCACATTGATCATCTGCCATCAAGGTTTAAAAATTAAGATTTTTAAATCTAAGACTTTGATGAGATTTCAGTACCCAGAAAAGGCCTGAGTTACTTTGTGTTAAAAAGAGAAATCATTCCACAAGCATTCAGTGTTTGACACCTACAGGCTGAATGCACTTGAAAAGGGGGCCCTCCACAGCATTTTGTCCTATTGTGCAAAGAAAGCAACATTTTGCATTACTTCAATGACCTGTCCGTGAAATCCCCTTTCATCAAATCCAGTATGATGAGTAAAAATCAATTATATGTATCAAAAAAACCCCAATCCCTTTTAATATAAAGTTGGTGTTTAAGCCTACACAATTACCCATACCTGCATCATTTACGCAACTTTGTCCATGATCTCATATTTAAACTGATCAACATCTTGTGTCTCCATAACTGAGCAACAGGATTTGGCAGTGTTGTGCCTGAATGCGTTCATTGAACGAAAGTTCATGAACTCGTTCATATTTTGGGCGAACGTGAACTGAACGTACTGCATTACTGCCTGATGAACGTTCTTGTGAACTTGTTCATTCTGGTGTCAGTGAACGGCACGCTCTCTCAGTTCAACTTTGTTCAATAGGTTGCCAAATTTCTATAGAGCCCTCCAGGCGAAACCCCGGCTAAATCACACCGTAAACAAGCCTTAATAACACCCAATCTGGCAACACCAGCTACCAGTGTCGTAGCCTACAGCCGCGTGCGTCATCAAAACAAAATGCAGCGTGGAATCCACAGCAGCATGGAGGCGACCGTGGAGGTGACAAAGCAGCAGTATGATCACTTAAAACAGTTT